AAGAAAAACTGAATGAATAAAATTCCATTCAGTCTACTCATCTTGTAATCCTAAACTGAAATAATCAGACTAATATTTACTCATTTGGAGTAACTGATTTTTCAGTTAGATGTTGAGTGATTTCAGCTTTAAGTGGTAGAAGAAAATACAACTAATGTCACATGAAAATTTTCAATTTACAGTTAATTTTCAGTGAGAAGATACCCCTACCAAACATTCAAAATAGAAAGATAAGCTTTCCCATGAAATAAGTGGAAAATCAAATAAGAGGAAAATAATTTATGTAAATTAATACAAAATGGAAAGAATGTTAAAAATGTATCTTAATCCACACTAGACCCTTATCTACCTGCATCATTGATATTTTCTCTGCCCTTTCTTTCTCTTAACAATTCTTATGTCTTCAGATTTAACTTTTCATTAACTCTTTTGCTTTCTACCATCTGCTAATATTTTACCTAATCTACCCACAAGTCCTAAGTTTCAATAGTTATGTATTCAATAAAAAATCCTATTTTTTAGAAAAGTTATCATTTACAGTCTCATGGAGCTTGACCAATTTGTAAGTCTCATTTTCTTTTCTTTAAACACTTACTAATTATTATGTTGCAACTGAATACAGCTACTTCTGAAGACCCTGGGCGTCTGTTATAATTTGTATTTTCTTCTGACTTCACCAAGAGTGAAATATATATCCCTACTGCAATGATGAATTTTAACAGCAGTAATCTCATAAAGGTTTTCTTAAGTCACAGGTTATCTTGCAGGGGAAAATAAGAGTACTTTCCTATAAACAAATTATGTTTATTTCTGACAGGATCGAGAGGAGGGGACTAATGTGGAATCATCTCAGCCACCTTCAAGGTTCCAGCTTAGAATGAAACTCAGATTCAGCATCCTGAGTCCACCAGTGACTCCAGACCTACTCTCCTGCTCAACTGCTGCTTCACGTTGGCAGGTGTCTTCAGTGTATTCTCACAATGCATACTTGCTGGTCGCTTCTTCCCAGTCTGGGTTAATTCACTATTGATGAAAGGGAGAAGAATCCAGCTTCCAAAATGTTCCTTCACTCCCAGAAGGCAGAAAGAAGCACGGTTTATCTACTCGTTATGCAATGAGCCAGTGCTCCCACTTCCTCCAGAAATATGTTAAAACTCTGAACATTCTGATGAGGAGAATGGTAGTTAGTTGGAGAATGGGCACACTGTTTAATTAAACAATAAAAGAAACAGATACGAGAAAAACATTCATAAGTAAAACTTAATAATTCCATCATGGTGTGAGCTAGGAATAGCATAAGCAAGTGTGAAACAGTAAGAAATGAAAATCGAAGGGCTTCCCTGGTGGCACAAGGGGTTAAGCACAGCATTGGAAGCTATCCTCAGCCTCTGCAGAACGAGTTCGATCCCTAGGCAGGGAGTTTACCCACGTGGCGGAGCTGACCCACATGGCTCAGCAGACCTCTCCTGACTCACCCGCTACTCTTCTCAGCAGTGTATTTCAGTCAATCTACCTGTTCTGATTTCAACTCTGTCTCTGGTGGATCCTCTCATACCCATACCTCTGGCCTGCACTCCAGCTCTTGTATGCACAAATAAATAAATCTTTAAAAAAAAAATAAAAAGAAATGAACATTGACTAAGTTCTAGTTACTGACTGGATAATATCTTTAGTTCAACCCAAGTTAAACCTAGTTCTTTAGGAAAATGTCATGGAATGGAATCCACCTTGTAATTTTTTCCCTCAGAAATCTACTGCTTCCCAGCTGCAGTTATTTTACAGTAATCTGACTGTACAGTGCTCAGCTGATCCAACCTCACTATACTATAAGTTTTATATATATAGCACCCAAAAGGCTAGACACTCCGTAGTAATAACTGAATTGTGTGGAAATTTCCCAATCTGAACAAATGAATAAACACAAATTTAGCCAGAAAGATACTATGATGACAAGATAAATTTGTTCTTTTATATTATCTTCAAAAGTGGCATTTGGGGAAAATGCTTTGATAGCAGATCAAATTTTCCACAATCACCTGGTTATTTCCTTTCACAGTCCTGGATCTTCCGCTAGACTTACTTTCTATTTTCTACCAAGCTGAGATTCCTGAAGTTGTAATTCTCCAAATTTCAAATATTTTTACAAAAACTCATAAACAACTCAGAGAAAGTACTCAACAACTTAAAGGATGTTGGATTACGCAAACTACAACAGATTTTAAGAACAAATGCAAGAGTATTTAAACGTCCCAGGGACAGGGGCTATTCCAATTTTTATCTAATAAAATACTGAAGCTGGCATAGAAATCATCATTTGGTGTGGAAATGGAGGTCATCAAAAGCCTTCTAAGCTGTAGGATAGTCAAGATTAAACTGAAACTTACCATGGAGATCTTGGCTTACTCCTAAACACTGTGAGGTCAAAAACCCACAAAAGAGGCCTCCACAGTGGTGCAGTGGGTTGAGCACAGCACTGTGAAGCTGTCTGCAGCCTCTGCAGCACAGGTTCGATTCCCCGCCAGCCAGGGAGACTCCCACGTGGTGCGGCAGACCTCTGCTGTCTTGCCTGGTGCTCCACTCAGCAGTGCTTTTGGTCTGTCTGCCTGTTCTGCTCCCCACTCTGTCTCTAGTGAATCCTCTCACCTTCCCACGCCTCTGGCCTGTACCCCAGCTATTGTATAAATAAAAACTAAATCTTAAAAAAAACACACACACAAGAATTTCATTTACTTCAAGATTTTTCACCGAGCACCTCTTCGCCTGCCACTCTGCTATACTGCAGAGGCCACTGGATGTGAAGAAGACAGGACTAGTCTATTCCTCTAGAGCTTACTGTCCTTACTGAGTAATAACTAAACCCTGAGACTATTCAGTAATATTTTTATTCATACTTTTATCACTGGGAGATTTTTATGTTTAACTAAAGTGTATGAAAATTGTTTTCCCAGAAAGATTGCCAAGCAATAGCCTCAGCTTCCTTGAGAAAGACTAAGTGTTCAAGTAATCTGGTATTGAGATGTATCTGAGAGTGGATGGCTGGGGTGGAGGGGGCATGAGGGCAGGGAGAGGGAGAGACTATGCAGTGTGTGTTTTGTGGCTGATTTCCTCATGATTAAACAAAGCCTCCTCCTTCAAAAAATAAAAAGAATGGGCATCCCCAGTAGCACAGCAGTTGAGCGCTGGGTTGCGAAGATGCCCGCAGCCTCTGCAGCATCAGTTCGATCCCCAGCTGCTCCCGGGCTACCGGCGGAGGGTCCCACATGGCGAGACAGACCTCTCTTGCCGCCCGCTGCTCCCCTCAGCAGTGTACTTCATCACTCTGCCTGTTCTGCTCCCCGCTTTGGCTCTGGTGAATTCTCTCACCCTCCCGCTTTTCTGACTGTACCCAGTGCTTGTATAAATAAATAAATAAATCTTTAAAAAAAAGAATGGTTTATCTAATTTTTACATTACCTAACATATGTATATACACAATAGGCACATACTCACATATCCACATTAGAAAGAGGCTGAGAAAGAAGTTAATGTCTGCTAACCCCAGAAACAAATTAACATGCAGCTAACATCAGAGGAGCCAGAAACACTCACTGCAAGTGTGAACACATATTTGATTGCAGGACTGGCTTTCCCAGGGCTGACCTTATAAATTAAACAGTGTAAATCTCAAGGAAGTGTTTTCTGAACATTTAGATTCACTGTGAACATTAGGATGCCCTTCAAATTAACTTCTAACATTATTAGCCTATTGTTGGACATGAATTGCTTTATTACTGTGGCTGAGAAAACATACACACATTCATACTGAGACAACTTCTTAAAGAATGAGAGGTAGTGTTTAAAATCTTGGAATGTAAAAATTAAAGTAACTAAATTTTTTAAGTAGAATACTGACTCTACATAAACACTTAAAAAATGAAATAAAGCCATTTATTTTGATGCTTAGAAGCAAAACAAAGCACCCGATCGATCACAGTATCCTAATTCCTGAAGACTCTATTCCATCAGGATTTTTTTGACTTTAACTCATAACCAAGTCTCAGTTTAAATGCTCCTTCCTCAAGGAGGTATGATCTCACCATATAAGACGATTGTCATTGTATTGAAACACAGTGCTCAATATTTCACTTTTCAGACAACACCACTACTAGAATGATCACTTAAGATTTTTTCCACTAAACTCTTAAGTTCTATGAGGACAAAGACTGTCTTGTTTTCTCCTTTATATTCAAAGCCTGACACAATACATATTTTTTGGAATTAATTAGTTGTAGAATAAATTCATAAGTGGAATAAAGATATATATCCCAAACTCATCTCTAGAAAGTGTGAAAGACTGAGAAAATTAACAATTATAAAAAGAATATAGTGAAAGTGGAAGGAAAATGGTAACATACTCTAAACCTCTATTTACAAATATGAAATACCTTAAGCAGCTTTACCTGCTCAAAAAGAGGGTACAGAAATCCTAAGACACACAAACTATAGAATGTTTTCCTTCATGTTACTGTTTTTATTCAAAGTAAGGATATTTCTAGGGTTTTTTTTTAAAGATAGAAGAATGTCCAATGTGTAAAAGACAAGCAGTATGTTCTCAAGTTGACTGTTTCCCAGGTGGAAAAGAACACATGACATACTACAATGGGTTCTTCCATTTGGGAGATGCTCCATCAAGAGTTGTTGGCTAGGAAGTCACACTGAGCAAGGATGAATAAATGAATTGCAGTAAATTAATACAAATTGATACTCTTCAACATGATCAGAATTATTGTGAATTTTAAAACACACTCAGTAAATGGTATAAAATGTGACATAAAAGAGTAAGTGCTTCTGAAACAAGTAGCCAAGTTAAAGTGTATGAGTGATCTATGAGTGATCTTTGGTCCTGCAACTGCCCCACGTCCTCACGCCAATCATTCCCACCAATTCCTCTACCAGCCCTCTGGATATTCTCTATGGCCTGCTCGATATCCATCCCAAGCCTCTAAACCCATATGATTTACCTGTAGTGTCGGGAAATCTCTTCTTCCACCTGGGTAATAAAATCACATTTGGTACATGAGTGTTCTTTGCTTTCCTTGACAGTCTGCTGCCCATCGGCTCCTTGCAGGTGATTTGCTTCTTGCTTGACATCCGATGCCTGGGACTCATGCACAGTCTCGTAATGAAAGAGGAGCACATCTACGTCAGGTGTGGCAAATGGGCACTGGTGGCACTGATGTTTGACTCTTGAGCTTCCGGCCGCCCCAGGAGACAAGTGCAAAAGTAAGAGTGCACAATGGGAACAATTACTTTTTCGACAAGCAAATGGATAAGTAATTTCTCCAAGGTGCTTTTCCGGGCTACAAAGGCCTCTGGGACAGAATGGACAGTGTTTAATGGTGCACTTATGAATGTTATGGAGCTGCTGATAATGACGGAGAAGTGGCCCCACTACAATTACATCGGGGCCATGGCTTTTGGAATATCTGAAATCACAGAACTGACAGTTGTAACTTGTCACCACATTATCCTCTGCTCCCTTGCTGGAGAAGTCCTTCTTTTTAGACCCGCTAGAACCTTTATCTGCCTTGATCATTGGCTCGCCTTCTGCACTTTTGGCTAGATCATTCTGATTAATGACAGAGCCCCTGGAGAGCTTATCATTCAATTCTGGATTAAGGCTGCCTGACTGCGCTCCTCCATGCTGCTTGCCATAATGTTCTAGCAGTTTAAGTGAGCTAGATGACTCACAGCTGAAACTACAAAATTTACACCAGTAGTAACTGGTGGCCTCTGTACCATTTTGTCTTGAGGAATCGAGGGGCTTGATGGGCACGGAATAGCCAACAGGCGTGTCATCTCCCGCCTTGACTGTAATCTTGTCCTGCCACTTTCCCAAGTCTCCAGAATCACTGGATCGAAGTGCAGGGATGGATTTATTAGAGTTTTTCTCTGAAGGTTTGGCACCCTCAGAGGAGGGGAGAGAAGCTTTGATTTTGTTCGGGTGCGTCTGAAGAAAATGTTGCTCTAGTTCAGTTGATGAGTTGCCCATATAAGTGAAATTGCAGAATTTACAGCGGAAGTACTTGGTGTTTCCTTGGCAATCTGGCGTTTTCCGTCCGATGCCAATGAATGTTCCACCTGAAGTGACCTGGTGTAGAAGAGATGCACATTAATTTAAAGGTATCATTAATTCAATGGTCTCTGTAGGAAGGAGGAGGGAACACTGCCAAGTATTCCACATCAAAAAATACAATAGCACTTCTGCTTATTATGAAATCACTTGAATAATCAGAGCCAAATAAATGCAATCTTCATTTCTCAATAGCTGCTCTTTGAGAGGCTCATTAGGCTAAACATTTCTGGCCAAAGTAACAGAGGAAGGTAAGTAATAAAAGTACTATAACTAATTCAAAGGATTCAATAACATATACTTCTTTAAAAAAAAAAAAAGAAACTAAGAAAAATTTCAAGTAAGTAGGTTTTACTATTGCCTCCTTAAAATCACATGCCTGTGGAAGCATCCAAATCACGTGAATTTCTTCTCACAATGCTAAAGGTTGCTGTCAAAACTAGAGGCAGTTAACTCAGAGATTACTCAATGCAGACGATTTTCAAGGAAATTCTCTGTTCAGTTCCTACAACGATGAGGTTGCAGTCAAAGAAGTCTATCTTTTGGGTAAAATAAAGGTGCCAAAATGACCGTACACCATGGCTTAGAATTAAAGCCCAACTATGCACAATTAGACTAAAAATAAAATGAATACAGTGGGCCTGAAATCTTGGTAATGAAGGACCAGTGTAAAGCGTTTAAAATGTGTTGCAGTCTAGGACAAATGCAAGAAGAAAAATGATTAGGATTCATTTGATTAAGGCTCTTTCTCATAGCAAAGGCCCATTCTCTCCAGTGAGTGAGCCACGGGGATGTTCAAAGACCAAAGTAAAATAATTCTACATAAAAATCCCCACAGTTCTGCTTTTTTAGCCAAAATTATAAAATTACATAGTATTAGAGCAATGGCCTTCAAAATGTACCTCATATTATAGCCCCCTCCTTTCTCAGTGTGCATCTCAACTGGTGGGTTAAATAAGTTTCACCAGTGGGTAGCCAAATTTCATGACTTCAAATCAAATTTTTAACTGAAATGCTCCAAAGAGGCAGAGCTTTCCTCTTCCAATGATCAGAGAAATTTTGTTTCTAGCATCCAGATGTAATAGATTAAGCACGTGACACAACCATGTTCTGCCTTTTTCAACAGCTGCTCGAAAATGACGTGTATGATGGCTGCTCATATCCAAATCACTCGATGAGAAAAATCTCAAGCTTCTCAAAATCATTTAAAATGTTCTACTTGATGAGCACACATAGTCTTAGTACGCTGGGAGAAATGTCTATCCCTCTATCGAAAGAGACTAAGATTGACGTTCATTCTGCCACTTAAAGAGAGGTGTGACCTTAATCAAATTAGTTAAGCTCTGGCCAATAGCTTCTTCAATGGGGGCAACCTCTGAATTTATTTCCAGTATCACAGCTCTAGGAAATGTGCATTTACACATACAAAGCTCAGCATTAAGATAATAATTTATGATGATCTCCCACAGCCTTTAATCAAAAGATGAAATGTTTCATTTCAAACTACCTCAACCATGGCAAGTACACTGATTTCTCCGATTTCAGTTTGTCAGCATCAGACCTACTGATCAATCAATGGTGTGAGAGATGTAAAAACCAGACCCCCACAATCTACTCACCATTCTAACCTAGCACTTCAGTGACTATAGAAATGAAAATGTGCACCGGGATGTAATGCATGATATTGCAAAATTCCTCCCTCTATTTCCCAAATCTCTGGAGGGGAGGCAATACCTTCTTTTCAAAAATAAGGTATTCAAAAACAGGATATCATCCATTCAGGTACTTTGTTCTCCTAGGAACTTAAACTTGAAAAAAAAAAGGGCAAATACAAATGTCTCTCATTCTTCTCTAATGTAAGCAGAAAGCCAAGTATAAAGTCTAGAGACAGAAACTGGTCTGTTTTTGCCAACACACTGCTCCAGAGCTGCCCAGCTTCCTAATATAAAATGCCCTGCACTTCTGCTTGTAGGACAGGGATTCCTGAGCAACCACGACACATCATCACTATTTCTTTGATTTTCCAATCTCCAAGCCTCATGCCCCATGTCCACACTGAAGGAGCTGAACAAAGAACACAAAGAAGTCTTCAAAAATCCCTCAACAGATGATTCTGAAGTAAAATCAAATTACTACCAAGCATGCCAACACCCCTCCCAGTAATTTGATAACAACTTTAAGAGTCAGAAAATCCCCACTAAGAATGATCACCACCATGATCAGGTAGAAACCTTGAAAGAAAAACCATTTCATATAAACACTGCCTGGAAAGCATTTTGCTTTAGAATCAACTGAACTGCCATGAAACTGAGTTAAATATTTTAAGGTGGTGGTGTCTATGTCTCTAAAAGTGTTGTTTTCAACAGGGAAAATCAGCCAACTCCACTATTTAGGATGCTTATGACGTTGCTGAAGAGTATCCCCAAAACACTGGATGCCCTTTCAAAAATCTCCCAAGCACCCAAACAGAAACACAAGAATCTCACTAAATGGCAAGAATCTTTTTTTTTTTTTTTAAAGATTTATTTATTTATTTATACAAGCACTGGGTACAGTCAGAAGCTTGGGAGGGTGAGAGAATTCACCAGAGCCAGAGCAGGGAGCAGAGCAGGCAGACTGACTAAGTACACTGCTGAGGGGAGGAGCGGGTGGCAGGAGAGGTCTGCGTGCCATGTGGGATCCTCCTCCGGTGGCCGGGGAGCAGTCAGGAATCGAACCGGCGCTGCAGAGGCTGCAGGCAGATTTGCAACCCAGTGCTCAACTGCTGTGCCACCAGGGAGGCCCTAAATGGCAAGAATCTTAATACTGCCACTTTGACAGGTTATCAGTTTGCCTTTCTTGCTAAATAATAATAAATCATATTATTATTATGTAGAATTAAGACACAATGTAATATTATAATTACATATTTTACAAAAAAATAAAAGCCATTTAGAAAATGTAATTACTCAATGTCCTCTTGCTTTACTCTCTCAAAAAGAACAACTAAAGGCCACATTTATTCCAATTTTTATACTTGTTTCTATAAGAGATACACCTGTCAGTCATAACAAAATGTAACTGATATATATCATTTACATAATGTTCTAAAATAAAATATAATTTATTATTTTAGCAGACTGTGCCTAAGACTGTGGATCATATTCATTTTACTTTCATGACCCACAAATGCTAATTTAAAATAATTCTTTTCTGGGTTAAATACAAATACACAATAAAAACAGTAATGCTAAATAACTGTTTACAGAAACAGATTATTGAATCTTATTGCCAGAAAAGAGTGCTACACATCCAGAGGAGTACTTCAAACTTTTCAAGTGGTTGAGCTCAGTGAGGATTAGGAAAAAAGCTTGCTCCATAACTATCACTATAATAAAAAGGGATGATCAGCAGAATAGTAAGTATAAATTTCACAAACAAAAATTCAAAACTTTGGTAACCAGAACTTAAATTATAACCCACTAATCTTGTAGCTCCTTTGATATGGATAGCTACACTTTAAGATTTCTGTTACACTGTAAATTCTGTTAGGACCAAGTTACGCCTTTTCATTTATCCAATTAGCAGCTACTGAGAGCTGTGTGCCAATCTCTGTACCAGATATCAGAATACAACTATCCAACTATCTAAGTGAACAAGCCAGATGGCATCTGATTTTAAATTACTTATATTTAAGATCATATTTTATAGGTAAAATCCTTTGTTCATTCCATGTATCTTTACTTGCATTTCTTTGCTCCCAAGGGAAGATCTATAAGCTTAATTCCATGGAGTATACATAATGAAGTCTCCGAGCAGCTCACTTTCCTCATCGTTATGGATATAAATTAGAATCTACACCCCGACATTTTATCAGATTATTGTGAAAATCAAGTGAGAGTAAGTATCTGCAAGTGATCTGTAAACTCAAGATTAGTGTTGCCTGAAAGAATTTTCTCAAAAAACAGAAATGCCTTAGTGTCTACCAACCTGCCCAATATGGTTCCACTACCCACATCTGTCAACTCAGCACTTGAAATAGAGTTAGTGCAAATGAGCTGATTTTTAAATTTAAGTAGCTTTATTTTTATTAATTTTAATTAACTTAATTTAAATCGTCTTACGTGGCTAGTGAACGCCACACTAGCCCACACACAGTGTAGCACGATTCACATGAATGAATGATTATTTTAAAAAATGAACTACCTGAATTTCTCCTGCCAATGGGATGAAAATACTAGATACAGGGGAAGTGATGAAGTTATTCAGTGGTAAATTTATAAATGTGTTACTCTAAGATTCTTAGCTGTATAGGAAAAAGTTCAATTCTGTTCTTTTAAGCTAATATTTCTGTTTATATTCCTACTTGGACTGGAGGAGTGGTATTTTATTCATCTTTGGAAGGAATCAGGGGAAAAATACATTTTGGTTGAATGTATGAACTCGTTATGCAAGATGTTTGAGCCAATGAAAACTTCTCACCAAGGGCCCTGTGCTTCCCTATGATAAGAAAGTGGTACCAATTCATGGCTCCCTAAACATCCATTCTACCTGACCTAAATGGGCTTCTCAAAAAAAAAAAAAAAAGACAAAATGCATCTTTTGCCCTATAAATAAATGACTATACAGCCATTCACTTGTGATTAGTTATATAGAAACACACAACATAACCCATTAAAACATAAAAAAGAACAGAGTTTAAAATGTTTTTCACTGAGTTCAGGTTATGATGGCTTTTCATTCCATTTTATCCTTAATGTTAAAAATTATTCCTTCCGAGTAGTATATTTTATGGTTTCCATTCATAATTTATTTACATGTCTTTTTACAAAAATGTTTCTTTGTTGAAGTAAAAAATATAAAAAATAGCCTCTTTTCAAGGTCTTTAACCTCAATTTATTTCTTTCCTCCTAATAATACGGAACAAAAACTAGTAAGAATAATGTCTGGAAGAGTATGTCAAAGGAAATGCATTTTAAAGCCTCAGAACTCTTAAATGACACTTTAGCACATGTACTTATTTTCAATGGGACAAAAAG